CAATTTGAATTATTAATGTGTTTTACCCCTCCAATTGCAATGAAACTCATAGGAAGTGTACTCACAATCAGTAGTCTCTTCTTGAAGCACCAAAAAAAATTTTGGTATTTTCAATTTGGAATGTACAAAACGAATTTTTTTTACAAAAAATGCGCGTCAATTCCACAGTGGGAAAAAGTTTATTGTCGTAAAAAATTTAGTCTATAGGTTACAAATATTATTTGTTTTTAATAAATTTTTTTAAAATGAAAATTTATAAAATTGCGCACCGATCAGATCAAATCTGACATCTTAACTTAAAAAAATATGAATGCTACACATTTGTTAACTAATATTTTGTTAATTTTTTCTCTTTTGTTCATATATATTGTTATATAAAAATAAATTTGTTGACAGTTTTCACTTCCTATGAGTTTCATTGCAACTGGAGGGGTAGAACACATAAATAATTCAAATCTATCTATATATATAAAATCAGACTTTTGTCTGTACATTGCTCAGAACATTAAATTTCACACATAATTATTCGTTTTGAGTATCAAGGATTCCAAATATACCAATAAAAAATTTTGTGTATGTATGTATGTATGTATGTATGTATGTATGTATGTATGTGTGTATGTATGTATGTATGTCACAAAATCTTTATTCGCGCATCACTTAAAACGGCTGAACCGGTTGAAACCAAATTTGGCAGAATGTTAGACCTTGGGCCAAGGAAGGTTTATAAATTTACAGATTTGAAAAATATTAATTAGAACGGAAGATATGCAATTTTTTCAAAAAATTCAAAAATCAAAAATTTTCAATTTTACATTTTTTTAAAAAATGCTTTCAAACTTTCTATAATTGTGTATAGTATGTTATTTAGTCACATTTTAGAATAGTTTTGCCAAAAATAATGTCCTATAACTAAGATGTAAGTAAAAAAATATTTTCAAAAATTTCAAAAAATCGAAATTTTTCAAATTTTAATTTTTTAATGAATTGCTTTAAAACTCTCTATAATTGAGTTTTACATGTTATTTAGTCAAATTTTATCATAATTTTTCAAAAGTACTGTCTTGTAACTAAGATTTAAGTATAAAAATGATTTCGAAAAATTCAAAAAATCGCAAATTTTATATTTTTTAATGGACTGCTTTTAAACTATCTATAATTAAGTATTACATGTTATTTAGTCACATTTTAGCATAATTTTTCAAAAAATAGTGTCCTAAATAACTAAGATTTAAGTATAAAAATGTATTAAAAAAGTTTAAGAAATCGCAAATTTTCAAAATTTACATTTTTTAATGAATTGCTTTTAAACGCTCTATAGTTGAGTATTAAATGTTATTTAGTCACATTTTAGCATAATTTTGCCTAAAAGAGTGTCCTATAACTAAGATTTAAGTATAAAAATGTTTTCAAATAATTTTAAAAATCACAAATTTTCAAAGTTTACATTTTGTAATGAATTGCTTTTAAACAATGACTTAAATGTAAGTATAAAAATATTTTCGATATCAAAAAATCGAATAAATTATAATTGTTATTAATTACTATCAAGCTTAATTCAGTAGTATTTTTGGGGTCTCTGATTAAGATTTTGGCATCAAAATAATGCAATTCATCCAATATTCTTTAATTGAAACTTTACTTCTAAAGATATTTTGAGCAATGTAAAGACAAAAGTTAAGCATGGGATATATGTTTGTTTAAAAAAATTCCTGGCGTTGTCCAAATTTTAACCGGTTTATTTTTTTTAAACAAATTTAAATTTACTTGATTTTAAGTTTTAGCCATAAATAAATCTGCAGATCCCAGGTAGAAATTGACGACCGGGATGGTACCGACCCGGTACAAACGGCGGATTATAAGTGCCGGGGCGGTACCGGCATAAGACCGCAATTTTCACCGTCTTAGTACCGGCAAATTGCCGGATGATAACTGCGGCAGGTATCCGGCATACGTACCGGGCCGGTACCGAATAATCCACCGGGGCGGTACTGGCCCGGTTATTGTTGGAAGGCATTTGGTGCCGGTTTATTACCGGCTGCACAACCGGCTAGGTACTGGTCCAGTACCGGCATAACTGTGTTCATTCCACCGGCGCAGTACCGGTAAATTGCCGGATGATAACTTCGGTAGGTATCCGGCAACCGTACCGGGCCGGCACTAATAAATATCTGACGCAGTACCGGGCCGGCACTAAAAAAACAACCGGTGTGGTACCGGGCCGGTTAAAAAAATTATATTTCAGTCTGATTAATTGTTTAATTATCATTATTATTATCAATGTTATTATTAATTTTAAATTGGAAACAGTAAATATATTAAATGCTGAAACAGAGAAACATAAACAATTATAGAAAAATCAGAAGACTTGAGGAATTGAACTCCGGACCCTGAGGCTGCAAAGTCGACACCACATCCGCTAACCTAAACCTGCATATGGAAAGCAAATGCAAAGTGAGCTTATAAAGTCCAACCGACATTCCACCTGGCAGCAGTACCGGGCCGGCACTAATATTCAACCGGTGCGGTACCGGGCCAGTATTTGTATTTCTAATTTATTTTAATTCAATTTAAATTATTAAAAATAAATAAATAAAAATAGTAATTATAAATAATAACAACCACCCTATTCGCCGGTTAAATACCGGGCCGGCACCAATAAGCAACCTACTCGGTATTAATATAATAGCCGGCACAACTAACTAATTAATTTATTATTAATAATTAAATTAATAAATTAATTTTCAAATTTTTTTTCTTTTCTTTAATTCTTTTTCTGATAGTTTAACATTGGCAAACAACCGGGAGGACACTGGGTTAGTACTAATATTTTTGTCGGCAAAACTTCTGTTCCAGTAGAAAGCATTAAGTAAATTATGCTGGGCCGGTGCTGGGCCGGCACAAATATTATCACCGGAAAATCTCCTTCATCCGTATAAAAACAAAACCAAATAGTAGTACCGGGCCGGTGCTGGGCCGGTAAAAATATTATCACCGGCAAATCTCCTTCGGCGGTATAAACCAGAGCGAAATGACAGTACCGGGCCGGTGATACGCCGGTGCTGGGCCGGTAAAAATATTATCACCGGCAAATCTCCTTCGGCGGTATAAAAACAGAAGTAAATTATAGTACCGGGCCGGTGATACGCCGGTGCTGGGCCGGTACAAATATTATCACCGGCAAATCTCCTTCGGCGGTATAAACCAGAGCGAAATGACAGTACCGGGCCGGTGATACGCCGGTGCTAGGCCGGTAAAAATATTATTACCGGCAAATCTCCTTCGGCGGTATAAAAAAAGAAGTAAATTATAGTACCGGGCCGGTGCTGGGCCAGATATTTTTAATCAACCGGCCCGGTACACACTACCAGTACCGGTAGAAATCCACATTTACCACCGGGCCGGTACTGGGCCGGTATTTATTTCATATCCGGCCCGGTACCTTTTTGCCGGTACCGGCATATGTCCGACTTTACAACCGGTTCGGTACCATGCCGGTCGTTAGTGCTGGCACACCTCCAACTTTTCTGCCTGGGATGGCTACAAAAATTGACTTATTTTATGAAAATACTCTTTTTTAAGTAAATATGTTATATACCAGTACCAGTCTTTGGCGGGTTTTAGTTTCTACTAAAATATATTTGACAGAGTGTCTACCAATTGCGCGGGGAAACCGATAAATAGCCGGAAATTTAATTTAACCAGGAAAAACCGGGAATTTCCTCTCCAAATTAAAAAAGTTTTATTATATTAATTTGTTTTTAAAAACTGCTTTTTCCTTTAATTTTTATTAATGTAATATTTATGTAAACAGACCCGAGTCAAAATTAAAGCCCTACTTTCAGCCTAAACATAGATTTTATTTAGGTTTTAGCATTCGTAAGGTAGGATCTAATTGCGACACAATTATTTCGAAATAGACTCTACTTTGACTCCAAAAGCTGGTGGAAAATTAGGATTAATTTTTCATATATTAATTGAAATACTACAAACGCATAAAGTACTACAAACTGACAAATACTATTCCTGAATAACAAATTTGATAGAAAACAGTCTGTCACTGATTAAAATAGTAATATTTTCCTAACGAAATAGTTAATGTTAATAACTTATTATTAGTTTTTCACAGTAAACTTTAATTTCCGGTAAACACCCTTTCAAATGTATTAGCAGAAACTAAAACCTGTCGAAGACGGGTCCGACAGCTAGTTGTTTATAAAATTGTTATTAAAAGTATGGAATTTTTAAATTTACAATCTTGCAAATATTTTCTTTAAAAAAAGTGAACAATTTTGTGTAATCAGTGTAAGTTTTATTAATTTATTATAAACGGCTTTTGAGTTATTAATTAAAAAAAAATTTTTTTTAATATTTTGTTAATGCAAAAAAAATTTAACATTTCAAAAAACGGTTAAAAGTGTTTTTTTGTTTTGTTATGAACTACAGATTTTCATAAAAGTTTTAACATTTTAGAAAATCAATTAAATTTTTTTAACACAGTTGAGCTGGTCTGACCCTATATAATATTTAAGTATATTAGTTTTTAAAGAGGGGTTAAGGTCTATTCGGTGAAAAAACGCATGTTTTTAAGAATTTTTTTTTGGCGATACGCAGAAAGTTAATTTATTTTATCGCTTTGCATATAATATTGTAACATTTGAACAATATTTCTCTAAATTTTAATTAAAAAATATTAAGAATTGAGCCAAATAATGAGATTTTCCTCAGGCGTCTCCAAAAAAAATTAACTAGAAATATTTTCTATTTAACATAAACAATTTATTAATGAAAAAAAAATTAAAAATCACCTTTGTCCATCTGTTGACAGACAATTGCACTAAATGTTTCTTTCGTTGAGCGGCTCAATTCATTATCATGAGAATAGTTTATCGATTGACCATTCTTGCCGACAGTGTGATACCTTCTACAGCTCTCCTGCAGGACATGGACGCGCTGCGCCTCCCTATTGAGGGGGTAGTAGTTAAAGTATTGATTGAAAGAGCTTCTAAAGTTGGAAGGTGTATAAAACGCTTGCGTGTACAAAAGTGAGATAGCGAACAAGTTGGAGAGCTTCTAGTAGTAAAAACAGTGAAGAGAAAAGAAGAGAGAAACAGCGCAAAATATGGAGAAAAGGCGAGCGCCATCAGGCGGGAGACCGCGGCTGTAGGGGTGGTCTGTCAATCCCCTCAGCTTATCTTTCTTTAAATTACTTGAAAAAATGGTCATGATGGCTGGCATGGACGATCACGAGCGAAAAATAGTTCTAGAATTTTGTCATTTGCTTGAAAAAAGCAAGCAATTATTTAATGGGCTGAGGGATTTGCCGCAGTACGGCCACAAACAGTGGCAGGCATACTTTGGCCGTACATTTGACATTTACACTAAACTTTGGAAGTTTCAGCAACAGCATAGGTAAGTCATTCTTCTTCTTCTTCTTATTCACGATATTAGACAAATCTTCAGTTAGTTCTCAGCACAATTTTATTATAAAGTTTCTTCTCTGTCAGAAAAATGAAATCTGCTTGCATTTTCATAACGAAGGTACATAATATTTAACTGCAAACCATGTGATACAAAAATTTTGTAATTAAGTATTTTTATTTAAATATTTCTTTATTAATACTCATAGTTTATGTTTCAAAGCTTTAAATACATTAGAAACAATTAAATTTTACGCAGAATATTATATTTGAAATGAAAAATAATTTTTATTACTTTACCTGAAGCGTTACTTAATTTGTAACATAATACTTATCTGTAAATAAATATTTAATCTCAAAAATCTTAAATTCAATAATGTATTTTACAGAAAAAATTATGCTGGGTCTTTTGTACCGATTGTACTTAATAAACCAGATGAAATAATAACCATTTATTAGATTTAACTACCTAATTCTATTAGATTTTCAGTAAATAACTTATTATTTTCACATATAACGTTTAGAATTTCTTTCTTTGAATATCAATTAAAAGTAATTAACGTTAATTATAATAATTAAAGGAATATGAAAAGATACATAGAAACTACCTAAATTAAAAAAAAATTATAAAGAGTACATGACTTATAGTTCTGCTTCTAATTATTTTGCTATGGAAGAAAATTTTATTAAACTTTTATATTTAATTTGTCTAAACTATTACATTTATTATATGAACAGATAAAAAAACATTAAAGGTTTAATAATAATAATAATTATGTACTTAATTACAATTTCAGGGCTCGAACCAGTGAAAGTATTTAAAAATACGGACTTTACGGATCAAAAATGAAAAATTACGGACCTAATAATATTCAAAAATATAACAAAAAATACAACCAGTCCGAGTCAAATAAGAGAACATTTTACTTAAAACTAGAAATTAAATTTTTCATAACTATAAAACATGAAGATATCGATAATTTTCTTCATGTTTTGTAATAATTAAAGAAAAAAATTCTTCTTTCAATCAATTATTTTTAATAATTTTCAAAAAGTCCTTTAACAATTTTCAAATCCATTTGTTTGCAATATTTAGTTTTACAAAATTTCAATTATTCGTAAATTCTTCAATTAAATATATATTAGAAAATAAAAACTTTAAATACTTTTTTTAAAAAATCCGCAATTAAACTTTTTCAAAAAAATTAATATCAAAAATTCAATTATTTCTAAAAATGTACTCTGTATTGCAATTAATATTCAATTATTATCTAAAATTTAATCTGAAATTAATTTTTATTAGAAAATTCTAGAAGAATCAATTCTATAAATACAAAAAAACCAATTTATTGAATAATTGAATGTTTTTTAAAATTCAATTCCCATAAAGAATTTTATAAATAAATTTTTCAATAATTGTATTTTATTATTTTTGAAGAATATTTCATTTTTGCGAAGAATATTATTGCTCTTAAAAATAATTGAATTTCTGCGATAATTTATAACTTTCTCCAAAATTAAATTTTATTTCGTGTTCTTAACTAAAATTCTTCTATAAATGCATTATTTTTAATAATTTTTGAAAAAGTTCTTTGAGAATTTTCAAATTCTTTTGTTGACAATTCAATTTTAGAAAATTTCAATTATTCGTAAATTCTTTAATTGAATTTGTATTAGAAAATAAAAACCTTAAATATTTTTAAAAAAAAATCCGCAATTAAACTTTCTTAAAAAAATTCATTGCACAGAATTGTTAGTTAAAAATATAAAAATTCTACTAGAATTAAATTATTTAAATACAAAAATAAATAATTAAATGTTTCTTAAAATTCAATTCCCATAAAGAATTTTATCAACAAATTTTTAAATAATTGAATTTTTCGACGAATTTTCATAAAATTTGTAAGAATTATTACATTTTTCGAGAAATTTGATTAAAATTGTATTAAAAATATATGAAATGTGAAAGAACTTAGATTTTTACCGAATAATAAATTCGTTTTCTTTAATTGTATACACAATAATTGAAATTCTGCTATGAGTTTTATTATTTGTGAAAATTATTGAATCCCTAAAAAGAATTTTATTATTTTTGAACAATATTTAGTGTTTGCGAAGAATATTATGACTCTTAAAAATAATTGAATTTCTGCAATAATTTGTAAGTTTCTCCAAAATTTAATTTTTTTTTCGTGTTCTTAACTAAAATTCTTCTATTAATGCATTATTTTTAATAATTTTTGGAAAAGTTCTTTACGAATTTTTAAATGCATTTATTTACAATTCAATTTTACAAATCTCAATTATTCGTAAATTCTTTAATTGAATATGTATTAGAAAATAAAAACCTTAAATATTTTTAAAGAAAAATCCGCAATTAAACTTTCTTTAAAAAATTCATTGCACAGAATTGTTAGTTAAAAATATGAAAAATTAAAATTTTCACAGATTTTGAATTCAAACCTTTTCAAAATTCAATTATTTCTAAAAATTCACGCTATAATGCTTTTAATATTCAATTATAAACTAAAATTTTTAATCAAATCTATTTTTAAATCAATTTTTTATAAAAATTCTTTTAGAATTCAATTATTTAAATACAAACAGAAAGAATTTATTGAATAGTTGGATGTTTCTTAAAATTTAATTCTTATAAAGAATTTTATCAATAAATTTGTAAATAATTGAATTCTTTCGACGAATTTTCATAAAATTTTTAAGAAAAATTACATTTTTCGAGAAATTGTATTAAAAATAATTAAAATTTTGCAATGAGTTTTATTATTTAAGAAAACAATTGAATTTTATTATTAACGAAACTAATTGAATCCCTGTAGAAATGAAAATAATTAAATGATTGCGAAGAGATTTATAAAAAATTTGTAAATAATTGAATTCCTGTGAAATTTTTATTATTTTATGAAAATAATTAAAGGTTTGTGTAGGATTTTATTAAATTTTTTTTAAATAATTGAATTTTTTCGGAAAATTTTATTAAAAATCATTAAAGTGAGAAAATTTTTTGGAAATAATTGAAATTTTGCCAAGAATTTTATTAAAATTTTTGAAAATAATTTAATTTTGGAGAAGAATTTAATTATTTTTAAAGATGATTTAAATTTTGACTAGAATTTTTAAAAATGTTTGAACATAATGGAATTTCTACGAAGAATTTTATCACATTCTTTAATTACGAATTTACTTTTTTTCAAAAAAACTGACTTTTACGGACTTTTACGTGATTTACGGACCTAGTTCGAGCCCTGCAATTGTAAAGACACTTTTCGCTCATTTAAATTTGTAAATTTAGAACAGGATTTACACGCTTATTTATGCTTATGTTTTTTAAGAACAATCCTAAGTTTATAAGTTACCTTTAAAGTACAATAATTTCAATTAATAGCAAAAGAAATATGTAACTTTACTCGTAAGTTTATTTATAATGTTTAAGTTTAATTTCGTATGTAACTATTATGATCTTATGTAGAAAGTTTATTTATAAATGCAGAATCATACATAAATTTAATTTAGTTATTATTACCATGCAGTATGCAAGCTTCCAGAAAGATCACTTCTTAAACTTGTAGCAAAATTGCATATAGATTTGCAAAAAAGGTTTTATTTTAAAAATCTAATACTATCGTCTTAAATAATTTTTTTTAAAACACTAATTCACGTAGTACATTCATTTAACAATACGTCAATTGTGTAGCAATGTTTTTGCTTAACATTACATTAAGCCAGATATTTTAACATGATTGTGATACTTAATAGAACAAATTTTTAATCTAATATTATCGTTATATTCAGGTAACATTTTTTGCTGTTTGAAAAGTACTATTGTTGTAATAATAGTTATACAATTAAGGGTCCCAATCAAAGAACCGCTTATAAGTTTTCGAGACTCAAAATTCTCGACATTTAAATAAAAAAGGGATTTAAAATTTCAATTTCTTGAAAACATTCCGTATTTGTATAAAGATTACCAAAATGTTTCTCAAGAAATTGGGATTAAAAACAGTTTAATTTTTGACTTACAGGGCAATGATTTTGAGCTTAAAAAAATTATAACCGGTTCATTGATTGGGACCCTCAATTATGCCAAATTTAATGTTTTTATTTCTAATATTTGTAAACTGTTCTATATTGAATGGTAAGAATAAAACTTTTTGTGTATTTTGTAGACAAGTGCTCGACACAAAGTACGGCTTGAAACGTTGGCAAATAGGCGAGATTGCTAGTAAAATTGGTCAGCTGTATTATCACTACTACTTGCGAACGAGTGAAACAAGTTACTTACATGAAGCTTATTCATTTTATGCAGCGATAAGAGGACGTGCTTATTACAGTCGTGCAGCAAAAGAAGATCGTAGTGATTTAATGGTGAAGAAGCTTAGGTATTATGCTCGATTTATTGTTGTCTGTTTGTTACTGAACAGAATGAAGCTCGTAAGGGAACTTGTACAAGAGCTTGACGCCCAAATTGCTGACTATACGAGTACTTACGAGCCTGAGGACCAAGTCGAGTGGAATTTAGTCCTAGATGAAATAAAAGCGTTTGTTAAGGCGGAGGCTGCTGTTGGGGTACTCCACACGGATGTTAGTCCAACTGTTACTTCGCATAGATTAGGTCCTCTAACGTCTCCACCAGTTGAACGATCGCCACCCATGTGCCTATCTCTACAAGAGATTTTGATCGTCGGCAATTGTACCGATCAGGTCAAGTTTAGTGAATTATCAATGGATATGTTTAGAATGTTGCAAACTTTAGAGCGCGAGCCCAGGGATGATCTAAATCATTTGCATGATGCATCGCCTGCCGGGAGACTACCATTTAGGCCAGGTCATTATCCTATGGAAAACGGTGCACCTAGACGCGACAATCCACACAAATATCTTCTTTATAAACCAACATATAGTCAAGTTCAGGTATTCCTTGCTAGTGGATTTAAAGAACTGCCAGCAAACGGGGCACTTCTTCTTTATCTTTCTGCAGATGGATGTTTTTCTACTGTTAAACGACCTGAAGAAAGTAAGTATCCTTCTATCATTAAAAAATTGCACAATGAAAAATGTTGACTCAAGTACAATTGTCATCTATTAGCAATGGAGCTGTGTAAAGTTGAGAGCCCCATCTCAAAATTTTTTCAATTCTTTTATTGCATTCGTTTGTCCAACAAATACTTTCCTTCTATTATCATTCACATTATCAGAAAATTAAAAAAAAACTTTTTCTGGTGAACATAAAAAAAATTTTAAAATGCGAATTTAACAGCTCAATTTAACAGTCAAGCAAATCTTAAATCAAACATACTAGCAACAATTCGCGCGCTAAAGCTCGCGGCTAACTTCTTACTGCCTTTTTTAAATAAAATTAGCAATTTTAAAAATAATAGAATTTGAAAACTTTCTAATTCAAATTTTTGTTGAAAACAATAAAAAAAATTCAATTTTAGAGAAATTACAAATAATTGCAGAAATTCAACTATTTAAAAAAAAATAAATAAAATTCTTCTTATAAAATTCAACTATGTACAAAATTTGAAAAAAAAATTTGTAAAAATCACAATTATCTTTATAAGTAACAAAATTCTTCTCCAAAGTTTAATTATTTTCCTAAATGTCAAAAAAATTCTTGTCCTAATATCAATTATTTTCAAAAATAAAATGCATTTTTCTAATTTCAATGATTTTCAATATAAACTATTTTAATAAAATTTCCCAAAAAAATTCAATTATTTAAAAAAATTTTAATAAAATTGTATGCAAACATTTAATTATTTTCATAAATAATAAAAATTGCACAGGAATTAAATTATTATTTTTATAAATAATCAATTTTTTTTAAGGAATTCAATTATTTTCATAAAAAATAATTTAAAATTCTAGAAAATAATAATTGAATTAAAATGATGAAAATAATTTTGATGAAGTTACAGTAACAATATTCTTATAATAATATAAAATAATGATTTTATTACTTGGTCATCTTTAATTATTATAAAACATGAAGAAATCGATCACTCCGAGTCTTCGACTCGGAGCAATCGATATCTTCATATTTTATAAAAATATTTTTATAAGTTGTTTAATTTAAAAAAGGTTTGAATTTTGAATTTTTGAATGTCTTAATTCCTGTGGAAAATCCTGTTCCAAAAATAAGAAAAAAAAATAGGAATTTCGCAAATATTTTTCTTTTTTTTCTAAAACAAAATAATAATTTTGTTAAAAAAATTGTGATTCATAAACAAAAATAATGCAAAATAAATTGCATTATTATTATCTTTTTTATAATTTTTCTTTTCAAATATTTTCAATTTTAAAATTAATATATTTAAAATCATCGAATTATTGCAAAGAATTTTATCAAAAAATTTGATGATAATAGAATTCCTTCAAAGAATTTTATTATTTAGGAAAATAACTGAATTCTCACAAAGAATTTTATTAAAATTTTTTAAAATCCTAATTAAATTCTTTTGAAGAATTTCTTTGAATTTTTTTTTTAAACTAATGGAATTTCTTTAATAATTTTAATTGAAAATTTTGAAAGCATTTGAATTTTATGAAGAAGAATTTTATTAAAAGTGAATTGAAAATAATTGAATTCTTGCGGAGAATTTTACTAATATTTATAAAAATTGTTTCGAAGAATTTATTAAAATTTTGGACATAATTGAAATTTATGGAAATATTAAAAAATATTTGAATTCATCCGAGGAATTAAATTAAAATTGTTTTAAAAATCATTGGATTTTTGTAAAGATTTTACTATTAAAAAAATAATTGAATATTGTTTATAGAAAGATTTTACTATTTATAAAAAATAATTAAAATGTTTCGCGAGAATTTTTAAAAATTTTAAGAAATAATTAAATTGTTATGAAGAATTTTATAGAAATATTTTAAAATAATGAAATTTTTTCGAGAAATTCAATTAAAGTTGTTTCGAAAATAATGGAATTTCTTTAAAGAATTTTCTTAAAATTATGTATATTCAAAATCATTGAATTCATCACAAGAATTTTATTACTTTTTTGAAAATAATTGGATTCTTTCAATTTTTTGACGAATATATTTAAAAATTGCATTGAAAGTAATTTAATTTTTATATGGAATTTTTTAAAAATATTTTCAGAATAATTGAATTATTTTTAGAGAATTTTAAATTCTTGTTAAAATTGCATTTTATGGAAATTTTTGACAATAATTAAATTATTTCATGTAATTTTATTTAAATTTGATTAAAAATAATTTAATTCTTGTGAAGAATTTCACTACCTATTTATAAAAATAATTGAATTTTTTCGAAGGATTTATTAAAATTTTAGAAAATATGAACAATAATAATTAATTTTGTACTTAATAAGCGAATTTTTTTAATTTTGATTATGAAATTATTTTGAAAATTTATATTTGAAGATTAGAAATATTTGTAATTTGCATAACAATAATAAATTGAATATCACGTTCCGCACGTAAAATTTTCTAGTAATAATATAATATACAGTTTATCTAAAGATAACAAAAACAAAAATATAAATAGAAGACAACTTCAGAGTGTGAGGGACAGAAAAAGTGAATGAATGAAAGAATGAAAGAACATTCAAATTAATATAGTTAATTACATATTTTTGCAAGTTTCAAGGTTGGGCAATTAATTTCAAAAGTTGGACAATCAAAAACTGACCCTTAACAATATTTTAAGTCAATTTTTAGGACAGTAAACGTCAAGATAATCTTAGATCAAACAGATTCCACTTTTTCGGAAGTATCAAAGTTGGACAATCGTTTTTAATGGATGGACAATTAATTTCAAGAGTTGGAGAATCAATTTTAGAAGTTGAACAATCAAAAACTTACCCTTAACAATTTTTTAAATCATTTTCTTAAACAGTTTACATCTTGGAAAACATAAATCAATCAGATTCCACTTTTTAATAAGTTTTAAGATTGGCCAATCATTCTTAATGGCTGGACAATCAATTTCAAGAGTTGGACAAATTAAAACAGTCCCTTAATAATTTTTTAAGTAATTATTTTTGACAGTCTACGACTTTTTAAATTTAAATGAGTCATATTCCACTTTTTTGCAAGTTTCAAGATTGGACAATTATTTTTAATGGTTGGACAATTTATTTTAAGCGTAGGACAATCAATTTCTTGAGTTGGACAATTCAAAACTTACCCTTAACAATTTTGTAATCCATTTTTTAGACAGTCAACGTTAAGGGAATCTTAAATCAAACAGATTCGATTTTTTTTGCAAATTTCAAGCTTGGACAATTATTTTTAATGGTTGGACAATTAATTTCGAAAGTTGGACAATTAAAAACTGACCCTTAATAATTTTTCAAGTCAATTTTTAGGACAGTAAACGTCAAAGCGTTGGACAATTAATTTCATGAGTTGGATAATCAAAACCAGACCCTTAACAATTTTTTAAGTAATTTTCTTGAACAGTCTACATTTTGGAAAACTCAAATCAATCAGATTTCACTTTTTGTCAAGTTTCAAGATTGAACAATTATTTTTCATAACGCGGTGCAAAAAAGGGCACTTTTTTGCACCTTGTTATGAAAAATATCGTTCGTAACTAGTGCTAGCAGTTGCCAATTTTTGAACGAGCACTTTTTTTGGAAAAAAGTGCTCATTCAAAAATTGACAACTCTTCGCACTCGTTACGAAATATACTATTTTATGGTTAGACAATTAATTTTAAGAGTTGGGTAATCAAAATCAAATTTTTAAGTCAATTTTTGGGATAGTAAATGTAGATGAAAATTGTTGTGAATTTCGATCGAGTTTTAGTGCTTTATTGGAAGTTTAAAGGTTCCTCAATTCTAAGGTTTTTTTCTTTCTTAAAATTGATTGACCAACTATTTATAAGAAATGTCCAACCCTTAAAATTGTCAAAAAGTGGATTCTGTAATACTTAAAGTTTCCTGGACGTTCACTGTTGAAAAAGTTGACCAGAAAAATCGTAACGTCCGTTTTTGATTTTCCAACCTTTGAAAAGAATAAAATTGTCCAACAAAAATGGTTTTACAACCTTGAAACTTGTAAAACAGTGCATTCTGTTTGACTAAAACTTTCCTTGACGCAGACTATGTTAAAAATGACTTAAAAAATTGTTAAGGGTCAGTTTTTGATTATCCAACTTTTGAAATTGATTGTCCAACCATTAAAAATAATTGTCCAACCTTGAAACTTGCAAAAAAGTTGAATCTGTTTGATTTAAGATTTCCTTGACGTTTACTGTCCTAAAAATTGACTTAAAAAATTGTTAAGGGTCACTTTTTGATTGTCCAAATTTTGAAATTGATTGTCCAACTCTTGAAATTGATTGTCTAAACATTAAATTTTAATTAATAATTAAACGTTTTTTTTGAATAATACTGTAAGGTAAATATGAATCTGGGCACAAACATATCTAACCTGGCTAGCACGTAACCACACAGTAAAAAATGTTTTTTTTTATAATTACAATGATGTTTGTAAATTGAAAATGTTGGACGTAGTATGAAAGTTAGAACGTCCAACGTGATTTACAAATTTTTTGCAATATAAAAAAGTTAACCCTAGATCAAACACCCCGAAAATTTTTGTAACTTTCTGTAAAATATCATAATATGCGAATTAAGGTTTGTGAAGCCAGCTACGTTTAATTTGGCTTCATTTTAAATTGTTAGCTTTCATCCACGTTCAACATTGTAAATTTACAAGATTTACAAACATCCTTGTAAATCTGAAAAAACATTATAGTAAGTCTTTAACGTCCGAGTGGTTTTAATAATAAGAAAGAAGCAAAAAGAAAAAACAAAAAAAAAAAAACATTGAAACAAAGATTCGTTTAATGTTACTCCAACGTTTCGAAATCCACAGATTTCCTCTTCAGGGAGTCAATTTGGCAACAGTCAGAACTTTTTGTCATAAATAAATTTTAAATGCGTCAGAAAATAAAAATATTACACCCATACATTGGAGCCATACAGATTCGAAAAAATAATTAATAATCCATTTAGTAAAATA